CTTGAAAGAAAATATTAAATGTATTCTATGATAATACTTGTGTTTGACCGCTGGGGGGCGCTTCTTCCGCACGGAAGAGTGTTTGTGCAACCCCGTAACTCTTCCCCCTCGTAGTTTTTAGCAGCCAGCAGAGAGGCGGCTGGTGGCTGGTGGTTCACAATGTCGGGCAGAAAGCCCCGGTCTGTGGCAAATCCTCTGGAGTCTGCGATCACCACCCCGAGTGAGAGGATCCTGAAGGAGTGCCACAGTCTGTATGTGGACAGCGAACACGGTAAATGAGCACTAACCCGGGTTACAGCAAAGTTGGGACCACGAAGCACAAACAAGCACGCATGGATGTGGGGTTATGTAAGTGAGCGGTGCCGAGGCTGAAGTTAGTGAAGGTAGAAGTGAAATGCGGCTTGTTTGGTGAGTAGAGGAGGAGGAAGAGGAGGAGGAAGAGGAGGAGGAGGTCTGCAGCTGCTGCCTGTCAGTGTCCAGACCATGACATTGAACACCGGGAGGCTCCTCTGCAGATATCACGTTAGTCTGCAGACACACACTCAGTACCAGTGTTAGACTGGTTCTAACAAGAGATAAGTGTCCTTCAGCAGCCCTCTGACTGTGACTTACAATGAGCTGATCAGTTCAGCTTTAAAAGCAGTTAAATGTTATCTTGGCAGTTACATGTTTGCAGATCTGTGGTTTCCTCAACAATAATCCTGTTCATGTGTTTCTGCAGACTTTGCAGTCAGAGACTTCTGACTGTGTGTCCTGCTGTAGTTACTGCAGTGTAAGGATGACATAAACAGGCCTATCCCCGGAGAAGAAGTATATCTGGTTCTTCTTCCTGATCACCTGGTGCACATACATTAACAGGCTCACACCTGGAAGACACCCAGAACACACACAGTCTTATCAGAACAAGGCCTTGCTCAAAGGCTCCTCAGAGCTCACAATAAGGGAATGTGACAACCAGTCTTTTCCTTCTCTGCCCATTTACATTTGATTTCTTACATTTTTAAAGCAAAGTCAGCGTTGCATGTATAGTCCACAACAGGGACTCTGCAAAATTTTGTGGAAAGTTCAAATTAAAAGTCCTTTTACTCATGTTTTTTTTCCTGCACAGAGGAATCTTTGGAGAGCAGAATGATAAGAACTTTTTAAAGCAGTTTTGTTAACTCAAGTCTCATTTACTCGATCATAAGAGACATTTTTGTTTAATAAATGGTCAGAAATAACAGGAAGCTGCATAGATCTCTCTCTGTCGTGTTATTCTGAGTCATTTAAAATCACGTTACTTGTGTTCTAACCATGTATCTGCTACTTGTGCACATGGGGTACGCTTGCTGTTTACTCCTTTTTACTCAGCTTTCAACATGATATCACTTTTACTCCTGTGGGTGTATTTTATGTGACGCTAGAACCAATCTAGAGCATCATATTGTGAAGATACCAGTCCACTTGTTGAATGCTCTGATCACTGTGTGTTTGTGTTCAGGCCTGGTGAAGATCGCCGGCAGCCTCGGAGTTCGGCTCCTGCCGCCCAGAAAGAAGATCATAGTGATGATAATGGGCAACCACTCTGCAGGGAAGAGCTCCTTCATTAACTGGTAATACGTTTTATTATTATTAATAGATCTAGCGACACCACTCCTGAACGTCACATGCTCTGCTCCATGCGTGAAAGAGAATTTGGAGAAAGACGTCTTTATCTTTTATCTTCACACATGACTTTTAAAATGCGCTTTGGGGTTTGACTGCAGGTCAAACAACAAGTGTGGGTTTCTGGAATTTACAAAGTTAAGATAAGTAGGTTTCACTTGTCAGTTTGAAAGCAGTATGTGGTCGAAACCAGTTACTGAAGACCACATGAGGGACTGTACGTGACTTCATAGACCACTGATTTGGCTACGACACTACGTCAGCGCTACTTGCAGAATCTGATGAACCATTCAAGGGGTTTACAATGCAGGTTAATCATCCTTTACATTAATATATCTAATTTATCCATATCTCCATAATATGATATAATGCACTGTTAGGAATTGTCGCTAATTTGTTGATAAAATACCCAAATACTCTTTGCAGATTACAAATTATTAAATATGTGACAGTTTCAGGTGATACATCAAATGAATCCTCATGAATTCCACAGTCCAAGATAAAAAGTGCTTCTCTTGTTGGATGAGCTGTATAAAGCCCAAATCATTCTACTTATGACAAAGAAAATCATCTTTTAGTTTTGCATGTTTGATTATTTTAGTTATCTAAACAAGTGATCACCCACCAAACTGCGTCTTTAACTGTTTATCAGACTAAATACTACTTTCAGTAAAAAACATGAAAAGTAAATCGCACTGTCAGTTTTTCAGAGTTTCTGTCCCAGCATCGCCCAGAGCTAATTCAGGAATATGTTTGAACTGCGGAGCTGGTAGACCGGCTGTCAATCATCCTAACTGACTAACTGTATATATTACATAAACTAAACTCTCTCTGCCCTCATTTTACTTTCAGAGCTGCTGTTGAATTAGTTCTCGCATTTGTTGGATGGTTAAAAAAAATGTGATTCTTATTATACTCATTTTTTGCAAACATCAAAGATACTCCTCATAGTTTGATCTGGGGAGATGGGAGTTTAGTTTTGGATCTCGACTATTTTTCAGTGTGAAATTTATCATCCAGACTCGTGCTTCTCAATGTGGAGGTCACAAGATGATTTCCAGAAATCAAATCAAATTTACAACCGATTAGAAATAACATAATTATTACACACTACACACTGTATGTTTGTTCAATAGCAGAGTTTATACATGGACATTACTTTTACCGACCTATTCTGCTACTAGCTAATATTAAATTAGTATAAAATAATATTCTGGTTGTTAGGCTGTTGTGTGCCTTTGTGTTGTTATGTTTGGACAGACCTCTTGTGTATGCTTCAACCACATCCAGTAAAGGTTGTGAATCTCTGGCACCATTATTTTGGGATTCAGGGGCTGAAAAGTTTGCAAACCTCCCGTCTAACCTCCTGATCAGAGGTTCACTTCCTCTCCTCAAGTAGCTCTCTAATGTTAGATTTTACTCTCACACCAGGCTAGATTATTATACGTTGTGCTGATAAATATATAATTAATCAACTGACCAAAAATAAATTGACAGCAGCTGAATTATTTTAGTAATTTATGAAGAAAAAAATTAAAGCTCTGCCTCGTTTGAGCTTCCTAAGTGTGAGGATTTGTGGCTTTTGCTGCTTTCTATCATTGTAAACGGAATATCTTTGGATTTTGGACAGTTGGTCAGCAACATCAAACTGCCTCTTTTTAAATGGGCATTTCTTATTATTCAGTCATTTACTATCAATTGTTCGCTCCCCTACTAGAATTAAGGCATTTTAGATCTTGTGCACTTATAACTGTATTATTTACATTTCTTAATGCCTGTCTTTGTAGGTATGCTGAAGAGCACATACAGAAAACTGGTGTGGCCATTGAAACGCAGGGGTTTACCTTCATCACCAGTGGTCGCAAAAGAGAATCATTGACGGTAAGAACAGCAAAAAACCAGACAACATCTCCAACACCGCTACAGAACAACTTGGTATTCAGGCACTACATTCAGCAGGAAGAGTAAAACCATGATAATTACCCCTTTTACTTTATTTTAAGTAAACAGTATTTTACATTCAGACATCACATCTCAGTTTAGTGCATGAGGGATTTTTGAATTTTAAAGTTCCGAAAATGGAAAATGGAGCTGCAGCCAGTCATGAAGGCTGATGAAGCGATGCGTTCGATGTCATTGTGTATAAAAGACACTCCCTCAGTCAGTGGTGATTTCTCATTTTGTATGCTGCTCCAATGAAGGGCTTTGTTGTATAGACACACACATACACATGCGCACGCACACACACACACACACACACACACACACACACACACACACACACACACAGGCGTCTTTGCAGCATATAAACAGGCTCGAGAGACACCTGTCTCTCCGTCTTCTCTTGTCTTTCTCGTCTCCCTCTCTGTTCGTATCCTGCTGTGGTGAAGGTGATGAAGATGAATAATATATTTGGAGTGCAGAGGGGAAGGATTATCTCTTCTGTACAGGAAGAGCTAAAGCGGGCGTGCTGAGCTGCAGCACACCAGCTGGTGTAAGAATGAGTGCAAAGTACGAAGAAGAGAGAGGACTCTGTTTTAGAGGGGTGGGAAAAACTGCAGGAAAAAAAAAAAGCCTGCAGATTAGTATTTGTCTCATCAGGCTCTAACTCACGTTGTCGTTTTAACTCTTCACAGGGGAATGCAACGCTGCATCTCTACCCTCACTTTCGACCGCTGCTTGAGTTCAAAGGTAAGACGTTTATGCATCAGAAACTCATGATGTATTTCTGAGAAGTACAGTTTTTACAGTGTTTTGCCATAATTGTTCTGATTTAGAGAGGCCTCTCTACTGCACTCCTCCAGTATTCAAATCAGGTTTCATATTCCTAAATCAATCAATATGTGTAGATCTGATGCATGCATGCAGAGTGTACACAGTTTCTTGTTGATGTGACGCATCAGATAACATTTGTAAGTGTCTCACATCATAGAACAGTTAAGGACATGTTTTCCTTTCAAGGATAGTAACTTGAACCTTGGTGCTTTGCATCTTCTTGCCTTTGATATTAAAACTAGCATAAGACACATCTTCCCTTATTGATAAGATCTGCACTGCAGTCTGAAACATTAGATTATATCATGAATATCACCTTTGTCGTGTCCGCAACTGGACAGGTGCATGTGATTGTGGTGTCTATTGATTGCAAATGCCATCATGTCATTGGCGTCACGATGAAAAAGATCAAAGCATGAAAAGAGAGGATAAAGTGTTAAAATCTGCTGGAACAGCAGGGAGATGCAGCATTAGTCCAGCAGCAGCACCACAGGAATAGTGAACAGGAGATGAATGCAATCATGAACTGCAGAAGGAGATTGGTACCTCTGAGGGTTAAGATAATGCTCTGCTGTGTGGCCCATGAATAATTCCTTCTGGAAACTGCTAGTCTGTTACAGACTCGGTTTAGGTTGGAAAATGAATGAATGAATTAAGAGCAAACTCACTTGAAAACTCTGTTTCATCCATACCATCACCAGAAATCCCAGCTGTTCAATACAGCATGTACCTCGCTGCCAGTTATTTATGTGTTGCTGCTTATCGCGGGGTCAGACTTGTGTTTTGTGATTTGAGGAGCGTAGGTGCTTCACCTTGACGACTCGACGCTGAGTCATAAACTCGTCGTATGAAGTTATAAATCAAACCCTGTTCAGCTGTCGTCACGTATGTGACGTTTGATCCTGAGATATGCGAGGTGAGCCGTAATTAGCAGCATATTGTTTTAAGACGGCTGGTCTCAGGTCCGTGCGTCAGCGGTGGTCTGGAGACGCCGGACGGCCGCTGTGTGGATGTGGTGGTCATGTAGGAAGCCTGGGTGTGCCTGCTGCCTGAGTGGGGGGTGTGCGCGGTCGGAGGGGGGGTTGGGTGGGTGGAGGAGGGTGATGTGTGTGTTGACAGGGAGTGTGTAGAGAGTGAGGGTTCACTGGGTGCGGACCAGAGCGCTCACGGTATGGCGTATGAGTCACACGCCCCATCGACAGCAGTGCAGTGTAGTCAGGAGGAGCTGCTGAGAAATGTCACAGCCATTAGAGACGGCACAGCCCAGTCTCCAGCAGCAACAGCTCCACTCCGCAGGCCTGAGCCTCGCAGCACCAACGATCTGCTGCTGGAATACACGCAGGCTTTTTTTTTCTTATTTCAACTTCATCGCTGCCTCTGGAAATACAATAAATCGGACATTTGTTTACCTGTCACAGCGACTGAGGATGACTCATCAGAAAAACACCATATATCCTTATCTGGGAGCAGCTGCTGATTATACAGTTTGATCTCCTTTGGGATATGCTTGGAGATACTTCTTGATATTGTTTAGTACTTGTGTAAAAGATCTTTAAGCCTGTCTTTATCGCATCAACCTGTTGTCAAGAGTTTAGACTACGTGCTGCATGGAAATTGACTGTTTTCGTCACACGCCAGATGATTAATTACTGCTAGATAACAAAGATGTTTGGCTGTGTTATTTGCTCATTTAGATATATTTGCAGTGTGGCTGGTTTGACCCGTTTAGTCCAACCTGCTCTTTTTTAGTCTTGGTTGATGCAGCATTATTGCAGCCTTTGCCCTTTTCCTCGTGCACAGGATCTCCTGCACAGTCTTCTCAGTTACAGTCAGTTGAGGAACTTAGCAGCCACCGGCGAGTATCGCTCACGTTTTCCTTTTCACCTTTCAGAGGACTTTCTTTTCATATCATATGAATGAATATATCTGTACTGCCATCTAATTCACTGATTTTAAGCATCAGATGTATGCAATTGTATTTTTCAGATTAACTAAAGTAACATCCTTTTAGAGCGTGAAGCCGTTTGATAATATCTGCACACACACACACACACACACACACTCGTGCGTATACATACATATATGTAATGATTTCCCTTAGCCACAATCATTTTGTCGTCTTTTTGCACAATCGGGATGTCTCAACGTTGCCAAGATGTGTGATAGGAGGCAGATGTATTGATATTGTGGCCATGCTGATGCAAGAGAAACATAAAGGAATGCTAATGTGCCACAGCAGCAGTGGCCCTGCTCGCTGTAGCACAAGGATGTGATTTGTGCTGCCTGTTAACACCTGCCTCTTCGCATGAAACAGCCTCACTGTCATCCCAGGCCTCCGTGTGTGTGTGTGTGTGTGTGTGTGTGTGTGTGTGTAGGGAGGATGGGGTGGTGGGGGAGTCTGACTTTGTCAATCGTAGGGGTCTGTCTCAATAGTGATCCTGTTCTGTCTGAAGGGGCGGTTCGGGCTCATGTGTGATGGTTGTGGTGGAATATCGTAACCTCGCAGTGCGTTGCCTCACAGTCGTTCTTCACTGGCTAGCTTTATGTCCCACGCCCCACACTAAAGCTGCCAGTTGAAGAGCTGTTGTGTGTAACCATGACAACAGACGTCTCCGCAGAGGGGACAGTGAGAAAACTGAGACGTAACAAAAGTGTTTAATGTGTTAAAAGGGAAGTTTGGTGTGTGAGGGTGTGGCCGCTGCTGATGTTTCCATCGTAGGATCTCAACCGGAGTTTACTGGCGGATGCGTTTCTATTGCATGTACGTAGCTAACGTATGCGTCTTCAACTGGACAATTTCCTCTCAAATTACAAATTCGAAGTTTCTCAAAATGCGGAGCTCGAAAAGTTGACTTTTCAGTTCTTGATCCTAATGTCACTGATCTCCCTCAGGTGTCCAAGTATTGACCGCACTGCGGTTTCTAGTCGCACGCTATAATATCGTCACAAGAGGTGACAGTGTCCTGCAGGGCTTCAACGTTCTATTTACCAGCTTTGTAACTGTGGGTTTATTACAAACGAAGCACCTGCGCACATACAGCATCTGTGTTTTCCAGGTGTTATGGACTACCTGTCCGCTGAGATCTCCACCTCCAAGCAGAAGAAATTCAGTCTGGTCACATTCGTGGACACCCCCGGTTTGGTGGACGGGGACATGATCTACCCGTTTGACGTCAACAGCGCCATCACCTGGTTGGGTACGTTTTTATAGCTTAAGATGTCTTTCCAGTGTTGACATATTTACTCTGCAGCTGATGTATTTATCTAATGGACGTTATTTTATTTGTGCAGGAGAACAGGCAGACCTGATATTTGTGTTCTTTGACCCGATGGGCCAAGCGCTGTGCAAACGCACACTCAACATTGTGGAGAAGCTGAGTGAAAAATGTGGAGACAAGCTGTTGTTCTACCTCAGCAAGGCAGACGAAGCTGGAAAGGAAACAGACAGACAGGTATGGATTTTGACATTTTTTTAATTGATCTGATTCCAAGAACGTCAAGAAAACCAATGAAGTGTTTTTCTTTCTGTCGTCAGAGAGTGATGATGCAGATAGTCCAGGAACTGTGTCGCCGTCCAGGCCTCAATAAATGTGGTTTTGAAATGCCGACAATCTACATCCCCAACCCCCAGAAGGTAAAACCAACCGTGTGTTCTTGTGTTGTCGGTTTGCAACCTGTGTTTGACACGCATCAACGTTTTTATGCTTCTAGTTTTAACATCTCATTTTACAAACTGACAATCTGATACCTGGATGTCTTCAAGTCCCCCCACCACCTACAACCACTAAAATCTCATCTCTGTGTATTAAGATTACATATTTACATGATTTCCCATGAAAATGATCCCTTCGTGTTTAAAAAAAATGGCTTACATGTAACTCTACACTGGTACTTCCTGTAGAATGTATGACTCTATGTCCACCCACCCCCACTGGCTGCACGTTGAGCACATGAACACACTTATGAGTCTGCATAACTACTCTACGTCACACAAAAGCTAGTTGTGATATTGGAGTACTTTAGCCATTCATCTTCAAATCGGGAACTGATTGTGAAGAATAATGGACCAGTAAGTCTCACCCTACAAGTTGACAGTATTGGTTCCATAGTTTTGTCATGTATGAACCCCCAGAACTCTGGATCCATCTCTTTGAGACTGTCATTGTTACACTGCAGTTTCAAGGTGAAAATGCTCAGCTGTTGTGCTGACTGCTTATTTCACTCTTATACTCTAGCATCTAAAAAACACCATATGGACACGCTAACGAGACAAAAATCTTGATTTTCACCTGAGGGCGCCTTTAAATAATGCAGTGTCCTCCCACCTTGTAGTGGAGTTGTGGGTCTGATGCTTCCAGCGGTGTTTTCCTCAGCTCGTGTTTTGGATCTGCCATCTTGGGGTTGAACAACCATTGACTGAACTTTGAATGTAAATTCTTTGCGCCACTTTTCCTGCTTGATGGCTTGAACAGAGTAATTTATGTTCTAATATGACGACTGAGAGAGTTATCCGGTCTTGGAGGGGAACAGGGATCGTAAACCACAGACTTTGATCTGCTTCCTCTGACAATGGCAGCCCCAGTCCTGAGTTACTGCCGCACCGTCTTGTGATCTACAACGCCCAGAGCTCTACTCCGTGTGGTAGATTTGTGAATCTCTGCAGACCTCCAATTTATTTTTGCTGAGCAAGTGCAGCTTCACTTCCTGCAAAGTGCACAAAGCTGTCAGTCAAAACACCCTCTGGGTTTGTCACGGAGCTCTTCCCTTTTTGAGATGCATGAGACGTTTTTATGTTTGTTCCAAAAGCGGATGCGTTTATGAGCCTTTTGTCTTGTTTAGCCGAGCAGATGTGTGAACCAGATCGATGGGGTTTGTCAGACCATCGAGAAGACCATCAACCAGGCCGTTCAGAAGACCCTGGATCAGCTGGAGAAAGACTGCGACCTTATTTGTTCCACCATCAGCAGCCGACTAGAGCAGGACAGGTTCGACCTCTCAACCTACAGCACAACAACTTATTGTGCTCAGATATTGCTGCAGCTGTGATATTGTTTGCCCTTCAGTCATCCCCCATATCTCATGTACATGGAGGAAATAAGTGATGTTATCAGCTGCAGTAAATGTGCTAAACCGGATTTCTTCTGTGTGCACACAGGGCCGATGCGACTTACAACAAAAGCGTCCGCCTTCACTCGTTCCTTTGTGGGGCTTTGGGCATTTTCCTACCTCTCCTGTTCGTCCTCAGTTTCATTGTGAACACCTTCTCCAAAGAGCAGCTGGATGAGCTGTTGGGTGAAGGTCCGGCTCGGACCGTCAGTATCTCCTCAGTAAGTCCTGAGAGTCATGCAGTTGAATTAAAGCTTCTGGAGCTGATAATAATGAAATAAACGACTGTTTACCATTTGTACATGCTGTATATCTTGTTCTCTGACTGTCTGTTCAACATGTTTCTCACAGGGAGTAGTGATGTATTTATGGGACTGGATACCAGAAGATGGACAAGTGGTGTTTGTGATTGGTTTTGGCGCTTTTTGCTACTTCCTGCTTTTCCTGGCAAAGTATTTTGCAGGGTAAGTGGTGCATGTATGCATACAAACATATCAGCAGATATATAGGTGAAGCAGTGAATCAAATAATTGATTTGCTAACTGACAGAAAATGAATTCCTTAAAGCTGGTTTAGGCAGTTTTTTTGTGTGCTGTTGGGCAAAAATTCCATAATAATGTCTGTGAAGATTCTCGGTCTCAATTCAGTCCTAAGAACTCTCCTCAGGAAGATGAAACTATATTCACACCAAGCCACAAAAGACCCTAATGAACCCCTTTGTGGCAGGGGGGAGCACTAACGACCCATATAATGAGGGGGAGGAACAACAAACCCCCACTTGAAACCTAAACTCAGGTGTTAATGGCTCCTTTAGGATATAAGTATGTGGAACTCCCAACTAGTCAGTCAGAACTGATGAAGCCTCTTGGATGAGAGGTGGAACGTCTTCAAGGAACTCAAGCAAGTCCAGTTGCTACGATTACTCTGCCAGAAAAATTCCATAATAATGCAACATGTTTAAAGGTGTTTTTGAGGGTTTGGTCTCCTTCGACAGTGGGAATCTTTTTCTTCCGCCACGTCGTGTTTCCACAGTAACTCCAGTCGTTCTTTAAGCTTTTTCTTCAGAGGCTTCATGAACGCTGGCAGGCAGAGTTGCACAGTGACAGTGACTCCTTATGGAATCCAGTCTAAACACAGATAGTGGCCTTATTTTATAGCCATGACACTGTGCAGTCAACTTGTACTTCAGGATGTTGAATTTAAGCAAAGAGCTTATCTGTTGCCACTTTCAGTAACGCATCATCTCAACCCACTGACAGATGTTTAATCCTCTGAAACTCAAAACCCACTAGCGGAATCGAAAGGCACGTTGTCTTTTAAAATATGGCAAAAGCAATTTTTCGGAGCAAGAAACTCTAAAAACATTGTTGGATTTTTAACTTTTTGACTAACCATGTGTAACTTTTGATTTTAATCAGAAGAAATGAACAAAATGCAACCCTACAATCATGATATTGCATCAAAATCACTGTTATTTTAAAAGCTAGCCAACAAAAAAAACGTGTGCTCTAACCAGACTCTGTACAATGCAAAAAAATTCTGTGCAACTGAGAGGTCGTGTTAGACTCATCTGTGACCAACAGACAAATGACAAAAATTCAGGGGTTATTTGGCTACACACTGCATTTAACAGAGCAGAGAGGAGTCACGTACGGAAACAAATCAAAACTGTTTGTTTTTATGATTTATGGCAACAGAGCAACACAAAATCAAGAATTTGCAACTTTTCAAATATTACTGCTGTCTGCAATGGTGGAAGTTCATTGTGCAAAAACCTTGTTTATTGATGGTATCATGATGCTGTACCTCTTTTTGGAACAGACTTTATATCAGGAGCTTTTTTGTTGTACAATACAGCTGGTGTTAAAACAAATTGACTTTTAAAATGAGAAAATTGATTACAATAAGCACAACAAATTATTTTTTCTTCATTTTTTAAAATAAAATGCAGCAATGTTAGGATACCAATAAAGCCAGACGGTCTATATTCAAAGCTGAATGATACGCAGGTCTTTGAGACATAACTCGCAGCAACATAATTCAAGGGTGTGGACGCTCACAGTGCAGCTACCAATCTGTGGCACCATTACAATGAAAGGAAATAAATACATTAATCTTTCCAATGAACTAACTGAGATTACCTCTAGTTAAGGAGTGAGTGACTGCAGTGTATGCCTGGACCAGCAGATTGCTTTTCTTAAAATATTACCACCAAGTGCTGCACAGAAGACATTTTTGAGTTCTGTCTGCTTCTCGCCACGGTTGTGCTGTTCCCGCAGAGATGCAGGACTTTATATTGCAGCAGTCTCTCTCACATATACACTCAAACACAAAGAGGGGAAACGATTACTGAAATGCTTAATGTTCTTCATCACCAGCCGAGGTAACAAGACCCTGACGAAGAAGGAGAAGAGGGCGATGGCAGAGTACAGCGATTACATCCAGGATATCGTCAAAGCCAAGAAGGTTAGATGTATTTTCGCTGCTAAGTGATCTTCGTTTGTCCCATTTGAAACATCAGGATTGTGAAACTCACGGTTCATTTTTTCCTCACAGGGTAAATTGTATGAATGGTACCTCCAGCAGTGTGCAGCAGAATACGACCTCTGACCTCGGGTAAGCTGAAGACAGTGTGTGTGTCGGCATATTGCTTCGATAAAGAGTTCATCTTCCAAACTGCGTCGTGTGGTGTTCCTAGAGGAATCGGCAGGATTTTGTAGACAGATAATCATCCACTCAGACTGTTCTCTTGTCAGGTGTTACCTCTGATGCAGCAGAGATCACTGCCAGCGTTTATCATCTCAACAGCTGATTTGAAAAGTGCCTTTATTGTTGATTGCAGGGCGAGCTGTGATTGTAGTTGTTTGATGAAAACAAATTTCATAATGTGACTAGATTTTCTGGGTAGTACATATGTGGAGTGTTTACAAATAACTTTTTTTTTTTCTTCTTCTCTCATTTTCTTCACAAGTATCTTGCAGCTGATTTTACCTGCAAATATATTTTTATGATGGATAAAAGTTTGTTCCTGTTGTTCTCACGGTCCCCAGATCTCACTGCACCGTCCTGACTGTCATGTTACCAGAATGTGTTCTTATGCTGACTGTTATTAATAACTGCAATAACCAGCGCTGTGATAACACCTGGGCATTAACGTCAGACATTTGATGAAATGTTTTCATACAGTCAAGTCAATCTTAGGGCTGCGAACTTCCTCTCGCCTCCAAAGAATTTGTCCTTGTTTGTTTTGCTGTGTGATTTGTGCAGCCGTCAAGATGTTTTTATAGATAAATCCTCGTTACGTGGATGCGTATTTACATAAACCGCAGTCAAGGCTGGTGATTTAAGTACAATAACACAACAGCGCAGTAAAACCGGTGAGCAGCGAAGTCTGCCGCTGCACTGATGCGTCTCTCCTAGTTTTATTAATGAGCACTGAGCCCTGCAGGTCATATAGTCATAGATTTAACTTGTGATACCATATAATGCCTTCACTCCAGTGTTTGTAGATATATTTATTAGACTCGACGAGTGTCAACAGGTGTGGTGCTTCCTCCTGGGGGATGCACTGATCCGATAGCTACAGATTGTGACATTTTTTATTACTGATCACATTAAAGATGGAGTAACCCATTTTTTAGATATTTGAAGCCGAGCGGCCGAACAAACCCGCTCCTCCCTTTGGTGCTACTTCAAAACACTCGCCCCCCCAAAAAAAATTCATGAACGCACAACGCTACGGCGACATTAACGACTTGGCGGGTGGACCAAAAGAGAGAGATTTGCTAAATTTGACAAGAAAAGTACTGGATTATTCTGTCTATTGTCAGTGTCATGTTGTTATTCAAAGTTCATTCATTCAGTTTTGCTATGTTTAGTTTTAAGTGGCTCAGCAGTCATTTGTGTCATTCTACCAAACATAAAAGGATCCTGATGACACAGTAAAATGTGTAACTTGTAGGGAAAAAAAAGCCCTAATTGGCACAATTGGCATCAGAAAAGCTGGATCAGTGCGTCCTTATTTATGATCCATTATAACGTAGAAGAACCTCTACGGGCTGTTTGCAATATTGTTGTGAACACTTTGTCTTGTGTGTGTGTGTTAGATGTCTCCCAGGTGTCCTTCTCATTAGGAATCCATCTGTTAGGAGCTACTCTCATTTAGAAATCTGTGAAACTTGTGAATTCGTCAATTCTGTGTTGTTTTTGTTTTTCCCCAAAAATGACTTTCATTGTATGAAACCTCCACTGCTTTTTAAAACTTCTGATTCAAAGAATGAAACCCATCAAAACCTGAAAAACTATGCTCTGTCACTTCCTTGGAAATTATTAAACATTTTCTACTGACTTTCTCTAACTGTTGTCTGTTTTCTGTTTAATAAAGTCAAGAGTTTGCTCACAAACTAAGGGTGGAGTAACAGAAAATGAAGCAGCGAGTAGTTACTGTTGGAAGACTTTTATTTCAAAGTTTAGTTATAAAAATGCCATTCCAGGCTTCTCTGTAGGAAGAACAATGCAGTTTTTTTTGTGTTTTTTTTTAAATCGCTGTGTCGACATATGTGACAGGGCTCAAGTATTTTGGGATCTTCAGCACAACAGGATGTAATCATAACCCGAAGCACATTGCAAAGCATTTCTGAATGAAAATGAGAGAACCAGTGAAATTACAATAACCGGGGAGGAACAAAAAATATTAAAGCAACAAATCCATTTCTGCTTGCAAAAGGACCAGCAGTCCCAGGCCTCATACCTCAGTTCCCTGAGTTAGTAACAAATAATCAGTCCCTATGGAGGTGACGGCTATCAAAAATAACCTTAAGCTTCTACTGCATTCGTCTAAAGGAGTTTATAACTCATTGTTAGAAAATACATGAATCTACTGTGCAAGCACTAGTGTCCGATCAAAGTATAAGAATTTCATTTGTGCACTCTACTAGCAAGGCAACCGATACAAAGAGGTAATTCTAACAATTGTAATTAATCACAAATTAAAGCTGCATGTGTGTTAGTCAGTTAAAGCTGCATTCAGGGTTCTGCTGAAGTTTTTTTTTGTTTTTTGTTGTTGCAGAATTAAGCTTTGTTTGTTGTTGCATCTACACTGAATTTTCTCTGGTGTGGGGCTTCATTTTATTTCTTTTTAATGTCTTATTATAGTAAGTTACGCCATGCAGATCTAAGGTGTGTATGCGAGCATACAACCAAGTCTGTTACTCAGCTGAAATTGTTTGTTCTTATTTTGTTACAGTGCATTCAGGATTATAACTATATACAATGTTATTTGTACAAAAAAAATGCCAATGCCCATCCCTGGCTTCTTATAAACAAAAGTGTACAGGTAGATACATCTTGCAGCAGCGCAGAGGCTGAATCCAATATTGCTTTGTTGTGAAACATGACAACATTGTCAACAAAAGACCTGCCAACACAGTGATTCAGTGTCTTCCGACCGTGTATGGCTCCGTTTGTCACGTCAAAGTGTCTCTCAGGAACAAAAGCAAGTTGCAGTGTTGTCCTCGGTTAAGTGTGTCTAAAACAGACACAGTCATGTCCTCAGTGTGTGTGTGTGTGTGTGTCTTTGTGAATAGACTGGGATAGCTGCTCAGTGTCTCAGCACCATAAGTGTCCGTATTGAGGTGTCCAGTGGACTTTGTCTCTTGGGACCTTCAGTTGTGAAGTTATTGAGAGCCTTTGTCGATCAACCAAGAAATGTCTCCAGTCCTGCAACGCAAGATCCAGTAATTAGACACATACAGACACACGTTCATCAGATGTGTCAGTGGTTAAGCTGCAGCTTCCTACAAACGGTTATTATGTGTGAAACAAAGAAGAGAAGTAGTTCAGATTTTCCATACTTGCCAAGTCGCGCTAACATCCTTCAATTTTTGTGTGCATTATTGGAAATAAAAGACACGAGGAACACTGTTGTTACATTAGAACAAAAACACAAATAAGAAAAGACAAAATGCACAGAAAACTGTGCAATGACACATTTAATCCAGGACTAGTTCTGCAACAATATGATGCGGGAACGTTTTATGTTACAGGTCTAGTAGTTCCTAATAATACTGTAATAACAGGCAATGAAAAGATATTCAGACTGTTAAAGGTGCTTCTTTAAAAAGGAGTGTGCCATCTGGTATTAATTAAACAGGAAATTATCACAATTGCCTCATAATAAAAGCAGTAAAGTCTTTGATTCTGTGCACAGCAAGACAGCCATAGAGGACTGCAGCCCTCTACAGGATAAAACACAGATAATGGATGGATGTATTGTATTTTGCTAGATCCCTTCATATTATTTGTTTTATTATTTACTGAATTAAGTGCTTATAATGTTCAGATTATACTTTTTATTGACATGCTGCAGCTAAAAACCTTGTTTTAATTTTTTTTTTTTATCTACCTGTTGTTTGTATCTGTTATGGACGCGTTATAAAAGAAATTCATAAAAGAAAAAAATAATATTAATACCAAACTATTGCTACTATTAAACTCTTCAGAAATGTCCTCTTTCAGAAAACATTCGCTTAGCGTGTGATGACCCCTGAGGTCACCTCTTATCTTGTGGGTGGTTCTAGTTTGGCCGTCGGTTCTGTGAGTGGCTGTTTGAGGTCATCAGGAGCACCTGTGACACCCAGTGTGTTCCTGGGTTACCTAAGGGCTGCCTGCAGTCTAATATCTCTCTACTCTGCTTCCCTCCGCAGGTATTGCATCGGTCTGGTCATGGGTTAGTTTTCTTTGTTTAGGATGTTTACAACATTTGCACAGACATAATTCATGCATACATCACACACACACACGCACACACACCACTGACTCTATGTATTCTCACAACCTCGTATTGGTTTGGTTTTTAATTTGATATAATTTAAGGGAATAAAGACAAGCTTTAATTTTTGAAACTTGGTCTCTCCTGTTGTTGCGGCCGTCTTGCACCGGGTCGTAACAATAGCAGCACTAGAACGCGTTACAAGCTGTTAACCATTCGCATACATCTATAAATACAAAGTGTTTTGTGCTTAAAACCACAATTTCCTATTTAATTTTGCTGGTTCTTTCTTAAAAACACAAATTAAAGTGAGTATTTATTATTCTGGATCAGCGCATGTCTCTAATTAAGCTATAAATTGTCCATACCATTTTTTTCCAAGTGATTTTCTAAGAACTGAGCAGTAAACTACATAACCCATCAGGTACAGTTTCACCGCATTAATCAAGCATGTAAAAGAACAACTGGTGTTATTGCTCTGTAGTGTTTCCACAATAAGCCAACTTGTTTGGCCTGAATAATACTTTTCATGTGATGAAAGTCACAAGCTGCTCGACTCATTGTGCTTCCTGTCAGAGTGATAACATTTGTCATGTTTTTCTTCACCGTAAAACCGGAGAGACCTAAAGAACATAACAGCTATTGTAACCGTGACCAGATTTAAGTCTTGGAAGGGGACTTACTCCACATCTCGCTTCTTAATCGTCTTTCCGGATCCTAAGACCTCTGCCACTCGGGATACAATGGGATCATAGTTCATGCTGGCAACAGCAACCACCTCCTCACTCCTGTAGATGGACCAGAGGGGGGAACAATGACAAGGAACCATCGCTAAGTTAGATAAACACTCCAAATAAAGGATTAAAATAAGCTCACACGTGTAAAATTACATACAAAGACCAAACAAAGTAAATAAATGTTACCTGGTGTAAAATGCTACAAATCGCAGTTCGTCCAGGTCTCCTTGTATGATGACATCATCAAATCCGTCACCATAACCTCCACAGATAGAAAACAAACGGTCCGATTCAGGCTTAAATTCTTAGTCTGAGGTGTTTATTATTCGTTTTACAGCTAGATGGCAGGGTAGCAACGACACATCACAGCACAATTCATCTACTTTCAACCTCTGATCGTCTCTTACAGCACGTCTGCCTCGTAACGCTGATCAGACCTCAGGCTAAACCAAACACAGGCCTGCCTACCTGCATAGCGTATGGTCTTCCCGAACATGGCTGACCAGAAGTAAGGCACAGTTTTGATCTCAGCGGCTCTGCCCATCATGCTGAGAGCTGCCACTCTTCCTGCCAGTCAGGATGAAAACACACAACATTTAAGCACATCCCAGGAACTTCTAACAGCCTTTTAAACGCAGTCAGGATCAACTGCTGCTGCAACAGCCTCACCGTGTACGTGAGCCATCTGCCAGTGAGGGATGTTGACCTTCTTGTTGTTGCGCGGTGGGAAAGGAAACATCACCACGTCTCCTCCTGCGAAGACTCCATCGACGTTTGTTTGCATCATCTAGGAGAAAGTTTAGATGCAACGAATATTGAAGAAACGACAAAAAAAACGTGAAAAACACTTTCACACAAGCTTCAGTACCTTGTTCACAGTGATGAAGCCCTTAGAGTCCAAGTGGATGCCGCTCTGCTTCAGGAAACTTGCTGCAGGGATGCTTCCTGCAGGAGGGACGACACAAGAGAAAACAGGTCAACCTTCTGAACCCCAACACGTTTCTGGGCCTTTGTTTTTTTTGCTCCTGTCATATTTTGTATTCACTGTGGGCTCATTTTTCAGTGCAACATAAAGTTCTGCACATCTATGGAAACAAGCACAACCGGGGCTAGAAGGAGAGAGAAGTCAAAAAATGTTCTCTCGACATAATAAGTTATAAAGCCATAAGTCATTCAAAAAGCATGTTGAATTTCTTCATTTATTTTACAAAAAAAGGGAATTTGAATGGATGGAAGGGTGGCTCTACCTACTGTAGATATTTTACTACTTACATTTGTAATACATTACATACTTGGCTCCTGCCTGCTTTGTGTAAACACTGCCTGCAGTTCAGTCTAGCTCACCCAGAAAGCGCCTGAAAAGTTGTCATGTAACAGTTGGTGACAGTGGAATCACTAATGCCTATCTGGTTATGCAGAGGAGGACAGAATTTTTGTTTTTGACAGCATCTGGCCAGAGCAAACAGTTTTTTTTATGAGGTGATTTCTTTAATGAGACATAGAATAAATGTTAACCTTAGTTTGGTTCATTTTCACACCAGAACCATATATCACACATGAATAGTTCAAGGACCACTGGAAAGTTGAAAATCCTAAGATTCACTTTGGTTTTTACGTTTCCTGCTTCAGATGAGTGGTGTCATTTTTGTGATATTTACAAAGTAACACATTTCACACCCGTCAGGATTCAGAGAGTTAAACATAAAGCTCCCAAAAACAAACAAACAAACAAACAAACATATTTTTAAAGTAATCAAAAGTCATTTGAAAGTAATTTTGACAAACTGCAGATAATGAAGATATGTTTATGAGATCACCTGCTCCAATGACACACACATCTGCCCGCAGGACTTTTCCACTCTTCAGTACGACTTCCTTCAGCTGTGCAAAAGTAAAAACAAAACGTCCAGGTCACATATTGTGTACATTAGTACATTAACAACTTTCACACAACATGGAGATTGAGACCCTAATAAAATACTGTTGGTTAAGCTTATTCATTTGAGCAGTGGAGTCTCACACATAGCAAACACACTGTTTTCTTCCAGTTAAAGCTGTTTACATGATATTTACTCTACTGTGCACCATATAGTGCCTCCAGAAAGTCCAACAATGAAAACAAACAGTAGTGTTTGTGCACACTACCTGCTACTTTGGTCGCACATAGAGACGAGCAGACTCACTTATGTATAACTCACTGTAGAGTGAACTATCAAGCGTTGAGTGCAATAAATTGCATTAAAGATTTCAAACACACACTCAGAGTAAGGAAGCATCTAAATCACAATCTTTAAATAATTTGTGATGTTCTGTTGGCAGTCCTGTCTGACCAAACCATGTTCATTCACTCTTGAGGAAGCGAGTGTTTCGACTGTTAAACTCTTACTAAATAATAAATGTGGGAAGCTTCCAATCAAAATGCAGCTGCTCAGTAAGTCATTTAATGTTATATATGATGAGTTCATTTGCAAAAACAGATAACTCCATCTTCACAAACCTTCAGAAAACCAACTTTCCCATCATCTACCTGAGACAGCAACAATCAAGCTCAGCAACAATCAATCTCTATTTTTGTCATTTCTACTGAGTCAAATCCACTCAACTTTCTGACACTCTACAAAAATGGAGTTATCTGTTTTTGTAAATTAACTCTTCATATAATACTTAGACACCAGTGGTTTTAAAGTTGACACTCTCCAAGCTTAATACTCTTGTTTCTCATCTGAGAGGATGGTGCGTCCGAGCATCATGTCATGCTGTTTCTCTCACTTTCTGAATACCTGTCCATGATGGCCAATCATCTCTGACACCTCGTTCAGCATGTAGAACTTCACCCTGTTCGCCTCGAAGAGCTGCAAAGAAAAAAACACACCAAACATTCATGGTAAGCACATGAAAGCAGCACGAAGGAAGTGAATTTCCACATGTCTGCATGATCAATCACCGCTAATGAGAAGATTTACGCTGCGCTTCCTGCTGCAGTATTGACCAGAAAAACATGATTTGCATCTTAACTAATAGTTTCCTCTCAGGGAGAATGCTGATGATAGTACTGTGGAGGTGCTTCATGTTCTGAAAAGCTTGATTTCCCAGGAGTACGTCTCTACCTTCATTATGGCTTTCCCTACTTTCTCCCCGAGAGCTTTTTTAAAGGGGACGGACTCGATCCCGATGACAGAGACCGAGTGGGCCTTGTCAGTTAGAGCTGCAGCCACCTCCATACCTGCCAACACAGCAAACACACAGCACAAAACGGTTGATGTATACAGTATTTAATGCAGAATGTTACACATGGCTGACAAAACAGAGGAAAACCCTGAATAAAAGAGTGAAGAGCAAGAAACTGCAGATGCTTCCAAACAGGGCATGAGGATCACTGAGTGGTTTAACTAAAAGCCCCTCACTTTTAATCCCATTTGCAAAATTAAAATAGAAATAAAACTCTAAAAGAAGAGGCCTCTCTTAGTTCAGCATAGACTACATTTTATAAGGCTGCAGAAAAGTGAATGTGCACCTTCTGAGACGTGTTTTGGAGTGATTTTACACATTTCTCTGATGCTGCAGTTTGGTTTTCATGTCGCTTCTGTTTCAGCCAATTCGTCTTTATTCATCCTGGTCTGTATAAGTACACTCACTGGCCACTTTATTAGGTACACCTGTGAAATCTAATACAATCCAACACAGCAGCTCTGGCATAAAATCTACTTTTATAAAGCTTCTACATCTTCCATTTTTATTGATGTTGCCAAAAATGAGACAATTCTACTTCAGATTTATTACTCAGGTCAGAGTACGTGGTGGTAAAATTCACTGCAGACATATAAAAACATTGAAAGATGGTGTATTACTCCATCATTTAATAATTTTCTGTAGGCGGACATTTCTTACACTTGCAAAATCAACATAAAATGAAAAAGTAGACACTTTGTAAAAGTAGGATTTATGGCAGAGCTGCTGTATTGGATGATACTAGATTTACAGGTGCACCTAATAAAGTGGCCACAGAGTGTGTATTAGAAATACAATATATTGGATTGTTTTTTTTTTTTTTAAAAGTTATTTATTTAAGTTATTTATCACGAAGTAGAAGGATTAGATTAAGGAGTTTTTAATCAATTCAGCAGCTGCAGGGTAAAGTCTTGTCTCTGATTGGCTGGGAGGACATGCAATAAATCATGTGACCAATTGAGAGCCGCTCCTGAAGGTTATTATAGATTACACAGCAGTACCAGACTCTTAACAAATGTGTTTTATTCTTCACACTCACCAAATAACTTTTTAATTCCCTAAATGTGTTCTTTGAAGGAAGTGAAATGTCTTGAGAGAAGGTTTGGTTTTATTTTTCCTTCATTGGTGTCACCCATCTTAATCAGCACAAACTGAGATTTGTGATTCAAAATGTGTTTTTGTCTCACCGACAAACGATGTTCCCACAATCACGGCGTTCTTGTTGTTGGCTAGCCTCGCTATGCTGTTTGCATCCTCAGGCGTCCGGATGTTAAACACATTCCTGACGTCTTTGCCCTTGTAGTTCATCGGTTTTGGTCTTTCAAGTAGGAAATGAAAGCAATCAGATGGTATTTTAATAATTTATAATCTCAGCTTCTAATGCATCATGTGACATATATATATATTTGCTTACTTGCTTCCTGTAGCAATAAAGAGTTTCCTATACTCCATCCTCAAGCCGTCCTCAAAAGTCACAGATCGTGTTTTCACATCTATCGCCACAACCTGGAACAAACGCTGCAGACTTAAACAGCCATTCAAGTCCTGCAATTTTCCAAATACAGCTTAAAGATGCTGTCATCGATGTAATAGATCAATAGGCCACAGCAGTCCTTGGGCAGTATTGATAAATCTTCACCTCAGAGGTCACCCCCTCACCTCTTTCTCTGTGAGCAGTTCAATGTCGTGGTCCTGCAGGAACTCCATGGAGCGCAATCTCAGCTGCTCTGCCGTGCTGTCTAAGGACTAAGGGTTAGCAAGTTAGCGCTGAGTAAAAGATCAAATAAGAATTCTTCAATACAAAAACAATCCTGCTTCTTCTGGGACACGTATTTTTAAGACTATAGCCTTCAGATCTCAATGGAAATGATTGTTAACCCTGAAATCTGTAACTACAACGATGCATCTGAAAATGCACGTGCAGCAAATTAACAATGTTCCATGAAAACTAATTAATCAGGCTTTTCTTGGCAGAATGAGCTAACGTCCTTCCTGGTTCAGTTACTTCTGTTTACTTCTGCACAAGCCATTTTCTTGGCCGCTGAGAGGTGTGTAGCTGGTCCCCAAAGAGCTCCAGTTTTAGCACCACTGACCAAAGCTGCACCTCTGCAGTCTGTTACGTAACTTTCTTGGCAAAGTGAGTTCTGTCTCAGTGCATGTGGCCGGGGTCTGTGTACAAACCTTACTCAGTTTAGGCCTGTCATACGGAGGATGTCTGTCCATGGTGCACATGACGATGCGGTCGGTGAAGCCCTCCTGCCTCAGCGTCTCTGCGCACACCAGACCTGCCGGACCTGCCGACACGTTGGCCAAAAAAACCAAGTATGTGACTTTGAAAGTGAGATTTAAAGGTCAACTGTGAGACATTAAAACAAACAGAGGAAGAGGGACGATAACACACTAACCTGAGCCAATGATGAGGACGTGGCTGAAGCCTGTGCTGGAGTTAATGACTGCTGAACATCGGGCCATAGGCTTTGACCTTTTCTGCGACTGAAGAGCCTGGAAATGTTTAAAAAGAGATTTCAGATCAATCAGGCAGGTCCATTTACTTTCCTGCACAAATTCTCCACATTTATCTGTCTCGTTACCTGCTTGTTTGCACGAATGATCACTTTGTCCTTTTCAACTCTGACCTGGAGCAAACAGACATGAGCGATGTGTACACTTTTTGATGGTGCTCAGAGACATGATAAGGCAGGGAATGTGTTAAGAGACGGCACCAGCGGGGAAGGTCACCTGGAAGGTAGGCAGGCTGTCCAGACCGGGGAAGTCCTCGATGTCTCCTGTCGCAATGTTGAAACAGGCACCGTGCCACGGACAGCGCACGTGTCCTTTAGACAGCACACCTTGAATTACAGACAAATGACAAACGTGTCAGGTGTTTGCTGTAATACATTAAAACTCTAACAGAAAACAACAGATGACTCACCTTTGACCAGAGGCGCCCCGTAGTGTGGACACTTGTGGCCCATGGCTGAAAACTCCCCATGTTCTTTGATCAGCAAAGCTCTGCCGCTTCCCAAGTCGACCTCTCGCATCCTGTCAAACACAGAAACAACACACACACACAGGTAAATACACAAAGACTAAAGAAAAATACTCTCTGCAGGAGAATGAATCTAGCTAAGCTACAGCGAATTTAAAGGGACAGTTCAGCCAAAAACACTAAAATAACAACTTTGAAAGTAATCATGTTTTGTGGATGAACATCAAATATCAGCAAGATTATGCAGGAAGTAATAAAAACTCAATGGAGAGATGGAACATTGGCAAAGAAAGAAATAATTCAATTTGTGTTTCTTTAAAATTGTGAGTAAGGGAGCCAGGATGTTTGTAATGCTGTCTGTCTGTCTGTCTGTCAGACTGCGCTCACAGTGCCCTTCTAGGTAAAGAAGAGAGATTATTAAAGCTGCGAAATCTAACTTTTGGCAAAAGAAAGAATAAAGAAACTAAATATTTCTCTCAGAAATTGTAACTTGAATTATTTAAAAATTAGGGATATATCGGCGACCACATCCATATCGGCCGATATTCATGTTTTTTCGATATATCAGTATCGGTCCGATGAACAAATATATGTTAAAAAAAATGATGATTGTCTACCATTAGCGCCTTCGTCTTTACATTTGATATTACTGCTATTTCACAGATGTTTTTACTTAAATGGTCCTGGACTTGAACTTTAAACATGTTAAAATATGTTTAAATATGTTTGACTTTCGTCCTGGTGGGGGCACCGGAATCTTTCTGCATGGAGTTTGCATGTTCTCCCCGTGCAGCGTGGGTTCTCTGCGGGTTCTCCGGCTTCCTCTCACAAGGTCCAAAAACATGTTGAGGTTAATTGGTGATTCTAAATTGTCCGTAGGTGTGAATGTGAGTGTGCTTGGTTGTCTGTCTCTAAGTGTAGCCCTGTGATAGACTGGTGACCTGTCCAGGGTGTCCCCTGCCTTCTTGAGTCAGCTGGGATAGACTCCAGCCCCCCCGCGACCCTAGTGAGGATTAAGCGGTGTATAGATAATGGATGGATGGATATTTGACTTTTGTTCCGTAATAAAGAAGACTATGTGGTCTAATTTGGTATAGGCTTCTTCTGAATAGTTTTCACGTTCTCACAGTGCTTACTTACATTCATTTTTCAGTGTGAACAAAAATTTAATATCAACATCGGTAATATCGGTTATCGGCGATATCAGAAATCTTAATATTTGATATCGGTATCGGCCAGATATTTTAATATTATACATCACTATTTAATCGGGACAATTGGGATTCTGCTTTTGCAGCTTTACTTAGTCTAACACGACCAGAATGGTGACAAAGGTTAGCAAACTTCACATACATGTTGTACATTAGTGCTTTCAGTGTTTGGCACCGTTGCATAATTGTCACTTTGACTTGCTGTTGTTTAGTCAGCTCTGATTGGGCCTGTGGGATGTTTGACAGTTAAAAATTCAACCCATAAGTGGTCTCTGCAGGACAAACTATATTATATAGTTAGTTTGACTGTGTCTCTTGTGTGAATCCTTCTAGATTTTTGAGTTTAATTTCCCTCCAAGATGTCTCAAAAATGATTAAAGTTTGTGCATCAGCAACACACAGAAGCCTATTGACTTCTGCATCCATGTGTGCAAAGTGTTTTTTCATTTTCTTACTGTCCATTTTCCAGATCTTTAACGTGACACACGGAGGCCTCCACGTAGTCCCGTGGTTTGTGGTAGAGGGGGAGCGGCGTGGAGTCGTCATCAGAGCCGTGTCCCAGGGCCCCGTTAGGTCTGCAGTCAGCAAAGGGACTCGCTTTGCCATTAGGCGACAGCCCGTCCACCTCTTTTTCTTTTTCCAGGAGAGAGAGTTCCACTTTAACTTCAACTGCACAACACAGACATGTCCCACTTAGAAAATGCACGACTGAACAATTGCAGTGCAATCACTTGGATTTGACAATTTTCCTGAAGCACTGGAGCAGCAAACAGATGCTGTAAAGCTTCAAACAGAAATCTCTATAAGGAATATTGGCAGATTATTAACGCTACCAATCACCAGTGGACTGCACCATCATTCCTGTGTAGCTGTTCTCTGATCTTTGAATTCTATCCGTCTCCGCTGCTTTGGAAGAGTAATTTGCCTTTCAGCTAGGAGAGACGTCTGCAACTTTGGGACAAATTGAGTCTGACATCTCCACAACTGAAACAAATGAAAGCAGGAAGCAGGTGAAGGGACAAGTGTGTGAGGGCAACCTTGTCTCCTGTTCTTTTTCCTTTTCTTGTTTTTTCTTTTCTTCCTTCGAGTGCACAACTGTGATTCAGTTGTTAAGCATTCAATATAAAAGCAGACTTTTTAGAAAACTATTAAAACACAAAACACCTGTCGTCTAAACAGCAGGAAATAAGTCACGCAAAGCACCCAAATGTTGCTGCAGAGCAGTGCCAGACATACTTAAAGACTGTTGCTTTTTGCATTAGTTTTAACAGTAAATTCGGCATTAAAAAGACATAAAAATAGAATGATAGCTCAGCAATTTGCCTCTAAATAGAAAAATCATTCACTTCTCAACAAATCTATGCTGGAAAATGTAATTTTGACAAGATAACAATGACTTCATATGCAAAAAAACAAAAAAAACAAAAACAAGTTCAGGGGAAGACACCTCATTTTGCTGCACAAACCCCAAAGAAGACAGATTATAACAGACTGAAGTGCATTAATCTGTGCTTTTTGCAAACATTCGGGCTTCTCCAATGACACGTGATGCACCGCTGTTGGCGTTATATTTGTGAACATTAAGAAAAATGGTTGTGTAACTCCCTTTTCACTGCAGCAGGCTTTATCTGTTCGGCTGGAAAAATGTGCTGATCATCCGGTTCTTACACAGTAATCTGGCTGGAATTTTCTCCTGCTGAGCAAGTCTTAATTAAAATCAATGGAAAATCATAATAGTGAGTGCAATTGCAGGAGAAAAGAAAGAGAAAGCTTTCCACCGCTGAAGAGAATCTCCAGATGCAGCTGTAATATCGGAGGCTAAATGAGCTGCACTGGTGCCTCATTTGATCACTAGTTATCTGGCTTAGAATCAGATCAAAGTGTTTTCTGTAATGCTTTTAATTTGATCTTTTTCAGCATTTACAGCTTTAACAGACGTCGTATTCACTTGAGAGGAAGCACAGGGCATTTAGACCCTTAGGTATCATTTCACAGGATTCCCAAGCTTTCTCTATCTCTTCACATTTCTATGCAAATGAAGGAGGCAGCGTGCCATGTCTTTAAAGCTCTCCCTGCCTCATGCATCTTGTCACCGAGCCAATTTACTCCCACTTACACTCAGATGTAGACATATACACAGCATTTACCGTACATTTAGGGTGGGATTTGTCTTCATTTACACCTCAGACGAGTGTCAGAATAGGCTACTTTTATATTTTTACTGAGAGCTACAAATATTGAAACTATCTTTCCTGATCTTATGTTTAAGACTGATTTCAGCCTATAGGTGACCTCAGACCTGCATCCAGGACTTGTTAGTTGTTGCTGAATCCCAGAGGACTTTAACTGATTATTTTAAAGTTGAAAATATTAATATTGAACATGTGTCTTCTTCTGAGCCATCACAATTTCTATCTTAAAATATAAATAAACTATGGTTCAATAACACTAATGTGTCACAAAGCATAAAGCACTGAGCTGCTCTGCAATGACCTCTTACTCAAGTCGTACAAATCCAAGAAAAATGGTCAAATAATTCTGCCTAAAGGGGATGTAGGACTCTCCTGGTTTTAGCCAAACTAAATAAAAACCTTAATAATAATTTTCTAAGAAACATTTATATATGTATGTGTGTGTGTGTGTACATGAATAAATGTCTTTGATTCACGCACTCTGCTTTGAGCTTCTGTAACTTTATGTAACCTCACTACACAGCCTCACATATGGTTTATATTTTTTTGAGTTCTATAAAAACCTTTTATAATTTTGCCAAATATTGTCTTTGACCACTTAAGCCGTAGGCTATTTTTCGAAATGTCCACCTGTAAAAACATCCACAAATGTAGTCAGTAACAGCTGCAAAACTGAGAGGCCAGAATGAACAACAGTGGGGTCTATAAGAGACACGATTTTGTAATACACTACGTCTCCTCATCCTTATCACCAGACCAGACTGAGATTTGAAAAACGCAATCAGACTATAATTAGAGCCTAAATAACAGCCTTATAACAATGAGTCAGTAAACACTGATCTTATTGTTCTGTTCTAAAAATTCTCAACTGCACCTTCCCCAAATTTGAAGCACAACACAATGCTGCCTGCATTTCAGTCACACTACTTGTACAATCAGTACACTTGAATGTGCCACGCTTGGCAACCTATGAAACATGGCTGCAGTGGCGTTTTTATAAGAGACACTGGCCCCAGAACAAAATTGAGAGTGGAGGGGGCTAATAATGTTTGAGAGTATATATATATAGAATTCTTTACTTTTTCCCTGCAGTATAGTAAACTATAAGTCATGAGATGTGGCTATGATCAGCTTTAATATTCTGTTGATAGCAGCTCATACAGCAGTTTTAATAAGCCCACACAGAACCTGATTATGCAATAAACTGTTCTATGATTTTAAAATAAACAAGCTTTCGCTGCTTCAAGATAGAAGTGAGTATAAACGTACAGTCAAAGCTGCTGATCCTAGTTCATGTTCAGGTTCCTTATGTGATGTATGTATAAAACATAAAGGTGTTCTTAAACTGCCCCTGCTGTGTGAAAATCTGCTTCCATAGATGTTCCTGTTAAGTTTGATTTGTCACTGAGTGTTAGTAGTAGGAGGTCACGCTGCGATAGACTCTGACTAATTAGTCTTCAGAGGTCTGACAGACAGCAGCCTCTGCTCCGTCATTTGCATACAACTGGTGTCTCGTGTTTCTCACTTTATCTGCACGTGACGCAACGAACACATTATTGGATCTTCAAGCTTTTGTGTGTCTATACAGCTGAACAGGAAGGACAGCAAGTTATTAGTGCATGCAATAATGTTATGAAGCGTGTCTCACTCAAATGGATGCATATATGGTGTATGTTTTTGATATTCGTGTCTCAGTATGTAATCCTCTTGACCAAAGATGCCACAGAGAGCATTTCAATTCCTCCCACACAAAACACTGTACTGCAGACAAAGGCGGCTGAGAGGACGCATAACAGGATTTGGAGGCAACTGATTTCGAAATTATTTAAACGGACCAAATAGTCCCTAAATATGTTCTACAAAACCAACTTTATCATTTTCACCACAAAAAAATCCTTCCAGCCATCCTACAACGAGGACCAGAGTGACTGTTTAAAACACACCCACAAGCAAACAATATATATATAGTGTTGAAATCACACTAAACCTTCAGCAGTCTCCATAACATGCATTAAATATTCATCTAAATTAACCTTTAATCTATGTTGATATATAGTAGTAATTCTTTCATTTTGTTTTTTTGTAAATTTCTGATGAACAAAATTAGTTCATAAAAATGTTCTATGTATAAATAAATACATACATTTTGTGGAAAATTCCTAATATTTGTTTCGATTATGATTTTCTGTTATTTCACAGTATTTTCTGGAGCTCCAGCCGCCAAGATTTTGCATTTTTGAAACATTTTTGTGCAGTGTGAGGAAATTCTATTGAAGTTTTTGCTGATATTTTTCATAGTTACATACATGATAAGAAATATCTTTATTAATATTGTTAATATTGTGAGAATTATTTCAGCATTGTTCTGTCTTACTGGAAATACTTGCAGGAGGATACCACATTTAGAGGTGGACAAAATAACATGAACACCTTATAATGCCATGCAGTCCAGGTCAAGTTTCCATACATGTGTTTCAACACCTGTGTGACGTCTTTTTCAACAATAATTTCAAATTCTAATTTGTTGTTTTGCAGTAAATATGTAACCAGTGCAGATGCACCTGGTTTTCATCACCTAGATAGATTTTCATTGTTCTCATTGAGTGTGAGAATTAATTGAAACTTGAGTTGGAGAACCATGTGTGTTACCTGGTTTGGGTTTGGAGAAGCATCCTCCCATGGTGGGCCCAGGAGTGAGGGACACCCAGGGAGGGAGGGGAGGTGCGGTCAGATCCTCGGGCTGGGCCGCTTGGTTGGGAGGAAACAGTAACGCAGAACTGGAGGTATGAGAACCTGCAGGTCCAAGCTGGCCATCGCACACGTCAGCTCCTCCACATAATCTGCACGAACACAGGAAGCAACAACAACAAACACACCGTCCTGATGAATGTTAGGGCCCATGGTGTCTGTGCTGTTTTGGTTATGTTGACTTGTGACCATTGTGTGTGGAGATGACCTGTGTAGGCCCAGGTGTGTCTGGCTGAGAGCTCGCTCCAGGACACCAATCACCTCAGCTAATTAGCCCGGAGCTGAAGACCTGGGCTGTGTCCAAAATCACCCACTCATTCCCTACTCCCTGTTCCCTATACAGGAATCACTATATATAGTGCACTATGTAGTTAAGTATGTAGGGAGCACCTCAGCAAAGTAAACTTTCTGACACTACTCGAGCTATTAATTACGTCGTTCAGCAAAGTCTCCCAGCTGTAAGTTTTGCAGAATGAACGTCTGGGCTAGATAAGACCCTTAAAACTTTCACTCTTGCTGTCTCCTGAAGGGGCCTCTATGTGCACCGCCATCTCATCTAACCCATCTACGAAACAGGTAAAAAAAAAGTTAACAGAACGGGAATTTACTTCCATTTTAATGACATGTTTTCGCGCTCTCGTTCGTCTAGTTTGCATTTCCTTTCATGCAATGCATGACGGTCCATATTGCTTGGTCAGTGACCATTGGCTGTACACTACTTTTCACGGTGCATTGTGGGATATTTTGAGTGCACTTAACATTCGGACAGCCCTACAAAATGGCGAACACCCTATATAGTGCACTATAGAGGGTATAAGGGGTGATGTTGGACACAGCCCTGTCCTTGTTCTCCCCGCCTCTGGTCACATCTGATTGGACAACCACCACTCCTCCTCCACCCCAGCAATCACCACACCTGGCTATAAAAGCAACCAGCAGCCT